CAAGACTCTCTTTGTGGAATGCCCTGTGTGGTTTTTTCAAGACAGGGTTTCTCTGTATAACAACAGTCCTTGCTGTCCTGGAACTTACTTTGTAGAATGGGCTGGCCTCCACCTCACGGAGATCTACCCTCCTGCTTCTACCTCCCGAGTGTGTATACCACCACTGCCTGCCTGGCTTAGAATGCACTTTGCATTGAGGACAGTGTCCCAAGTACTAATGAATAGTGGCATGATGAGTTGTATATACAAAGGGCCTTACAGAAGTTTGTTGTGAGACCCAAACAGATAGTTAAGTATGGCATTATAATGTAGAGCTGTGCTCCAAACTGATGTAGCATCTGCTTCTGTACCACTTTCTAGAGGACACACACCTATTCCTGAAGTAAGCATTGAGCTCCTGTCAGGAAACTTATTATTTCAAAACAGGTTTGGCAGTGTAATGAATGCAAAATTGATAAGGTTGGTACTGCCTTATAACTATACTAGTAGAGAAACAAAAATAAAGTAGTAAATTGTGATATGAAACATTAAGCAGCAGGTACATGCCAGGATGGATTGAAGCTTCCTAAAACCTGACTATAGATTATTTGCCAGAAAGCTAAGGAAACAATATGCTTGGGTGCATATCAAAGGCTAAGGGATAGAAGGTAAGCAAACACATGGTGGAATATACCTTCCAAATGAGCAATCTGGGTTAAGGCAACATGGAGAGAGTTTAACAAATCTCCAAGAGTATCCAATCTAGGAGTTTAGATTCCCTTCTGTAAGTATCCAATTGTACCTGAGGTTTTAGGCACAGTGTTAATTACCAATGATATAGAAACTACTACAGCATAAATAAATTACCTCCTTGAAGCTGTTGTTTCCTTGTATTTAAGTTTTGGGGGGTAATTTTAAGGGTTAGAGTTTAGGGGAATGTAAAAAAACAATACCTTAAAATCCAGTTCAACATGTCTTAACCATCACCTGCACAAAATAGTTGGTTAATTATTAGACCTGTAATTGACTAATAGCTTTTTATATTTGTTTGAAGAATTACAGATTCTTTGTTTTATAATTATTTTAGTGAAATGAACTATAATTTCAAAACTGTTACATAGATTTTTAAATAGGGTCTTTGACAGCTATGAAGTAATTTATTTACACAGCAGATTGGATTGCTTTTAATGTGTTTCTTAGAGGGAGACTTGATTTATCAAGTTTATTTGCATTTGAAACTGTTTGCCTAGAGAATTGTTGTCCTTGTGGTTTTTAAGGTGGTTTTGTGTGCTTTTTGGAAGATGATGATTCTGGTCATATCCAACTCACTGTAAAATGTTTGTAACGTGTTATAGCTGACTGTAAAAAGGCTAAAAGAGTTGTTGACAATATAATCTACAAACCTACCTGTACCTCAAAAGCAAGCACTTGCTTAGCTATGTATATTAAATATTGAATGCAAGTATCTGAGCTAAAGGAACTGATCATTTACCCTTCTTGAGTGTTTTCATCATTGACGGGACAAAAGTTTGGCCAGATGATGTAACTGCATCAGAGAGTGGGTCTTGATGCTGCTGCAGTCCTTCCTCTGTTAGATCTGGGCAAGTGTCAAATGGAGCCTGTCCTCTGCTCGTCCAGTCCAGGAGATGCGGTTTGGACTGTTGTTGGGGTACTTGGACTGCCTGGGGTGGGGTGGGGCATGATCCTGGCACCATTTTTGACTGAAAATGCCAAAGAAACTTAACTGATCTCCAGAGAAAGGTTCTAGGTGGCTAGCAAGATGGCTCAGTGGGTAAGGGCACCAGACTCATTGGTGTGACCATAGTACATTTCTGGTTCCACAGGGAAGAAACAGTTGGAAGAAGCTGTTTTTCAGTTATGTGTGGAATGTTTCACTCACTTTTGGAAAGTTGGCTAGTGTTTAATAAATTCAGACTCATGGATTTTAGAATGATGTCTACCACTTTGCATGCATTTCTTAAAGTTTGAGTTAATCTGAATGGCTCTGCAGGTTGCCTTTTCAGCAGTGGTACTTTGCCTGTGGCACAACATGCTTGCATAAGTGAAATGCTTGACCAAAGCAGCCCTTACTCTTTAAAATTAGTAAGAGCCCCAAGGAGCTTTTGCTTGTCTTGGTTATATTAATATAAAGTTTTTATATATATTCATATAGCCTTCAATGTCCTGGAACTTAAAGGGATCCTCCTGCCTCTGCTTCCCTAGTATTGGGACCCCCAGCTGTACTCTTATTATATTACACCACACTTGCCATATTACCTGTAAGACAACAGGATAAATACATGGGAGAAAAGTTTTTAATTCAGTAGTTGGGAGTGCTCCACCACCAGCCAGCTTAGGCTCTGGTATCTTTAGGCTGGTCATATACATGTGTTTGGAACGGGGAGGGGGGGGATATCAGTGCTTCTCACATAGATACCTTACTGTGAGAAAGCATTCCCTTAGGTCATGAAATTGCTCCTAAACACCAGAAATACTGGGGGTGGGAATTGGGGGAGGGAGTTAGCTTGTAGCAAGTATTTGAAGTAAAGGAAGTAAGAAATTGTCACTGTGGAGGGTTTGGGTTGGGAAGTTGCTTACAAGGTAACTGTCATTGAGCCATACATACAACATTTAGAACACAGCAGCTATTTTCAAAATAACACAGTGCTTTTTAGAAGCTGGATCAATTTTCATGGTTAATAATTGAATACTATGCTAATTAGTCTTAATTCCTTTTGGCTTGTATAACATAGCACATCACTGTCTGCCCACACACTGTTGTGCTTGTGCTAGGATGAATGGACCATCGTTTATTCTCTGCATATGTGGATTTTGTCCTGTCCATAATGAAGCTTGTTGCCTGTGCTGAAGAGTTAAAGCATATTTGCTGATGTGTGAGTGCCTAACATTGGCACATCTGTTTAGACATCTTACCTGTTTGTTGACTGCATCATGTGCATAGTGCAGCAGGCTGCTCTTGTCAGGAGTCCTGCATCCTGGATAAGCCAGAGAGCTACAGTAGGGAGCTGGAGACTGTGCTGTTAGGTGCTCTGCCCCACAGCCAGGCTTTCACAGGTCGTTGGAGGTGCAGGAGCTCTTTTTCTCTGTCTCTGCTTTTCCTTTTGTAGGACTACATTAGCGTACATGCCTTGTACCAAAACATACTATTCCTGATCTCCATGGCACTTACATCTCTGCCTACAACCCTGCCCTCACCCATCTTTTACCATCTCTGCCTGAGAAGGGCCATTGCTGACAGCCTAATAAGAGTGGCTGACCTAACTGAAAGTCAGCAGAGTGGAGGCCAAACCATGCACTCACATTCTCTTTTGCATTTACCTGCAGTGGATATGTGCTCTCTCCCACTATTTCTGCACCCCCACCTCACCCCCACCCCATTCCCCCACACAGGGTTTTTCTATCTAGCCTTGGCTATCCTTCTGCCTTCTGATTGCTAGGATTAAGGTGTGTGACACCACTGCCTGGCTATTTATTTACTCTTTTTACCTGGCATTGAGGTGTAAAGTGTACCCTGGTAAAAGATACCACAAAATAAAACTGGCAACACCTTTTCACCAAAATGAAGCTGTCTGGATGTTTGGAGGAAACATCCAGTCATCTAGAGCAGTGGTTTTTAACTTGTGGGTTGAGGTCACTTTGGGGGTTGAATGTCCCTTTCACAAGGGTTGTACATCATATTTTTACATTACGATCCATAATAGTAGCAAAATTACAGTTAGGAAGTAGCAACAAAAATAATTTTATGGCTAGAGGTCAGCACAACATGAACTGTGTTAAGGGTCACAGCAGAAGGAAGGTTGAGAACCACTGGATCTTGTGACTTAATTCTTCCCTCAGAGAACTGTACTTTCAGGTACCTTTCCTGATCAAGGTAATTGTTGCTGGAGGCTGAGAGCAGACATTCTCTAAGAGTGTACCTTTACTGGGATAGCATCTGTCCACTGCATCATGTCTTTTCAAGGGCTACCCCATTAGCCTTGTTTGCTTAACAGTCCCACATGAGGAATAGCCGAGTTATGTGCTGGGCTGTGGTGTTCCAGGTCCTCTGCCTGGGACTTCTGCGGGGTTTAGTATACAGTCCCTTCACTTTGCTAAGACTCATGTATTTCTATTTAGGATTTGGAGCATTAATTCTTTTTGTATTGCTAGCTAGGGAAATTTTATATTACTATTATAGGAATCCTGTCTCATCCAAGCTTCAGTGGTCAGTCATAGTCGTTAGCATCTTAATCATCTCTATCTGACAGGTCATCTCCTTGCCTGGTATTCCCCATCCTGGATGGGCCACTTGCCTTGTAATAGCTTGGGTACCACCTCACTCGGGAGATCTATTATGTGGCTGCAGAGGAGGGGGTTGCTGTATATAGAAACATTGGCTAGCATTTCTTCCCCCCCCCCTAGTTTGGGTCTGTGAATGGTTCTGCATTGTGAAAGTGTTTGGCACTGCTTAGAAGCTACACAACGGTGATGAGAGAGCCTGTGTCAGCTGGAGATTGGTGCAGACATAATGTTATGACACAGTCAATGTATCACTTGTCTGAGGTTGTTTTTTTTTTTTTTTTTTTTTTTTTTTTTTTTTTGGTTTGGTTTGGTTTGGTTTTCCCCACAGTGACTTCATCCCTTTGGGAATTTGTATGAACCATGGTTACCTTTTATTGCCCTGTATGTGTTGTCCATGCCAATCACAGCTGCAGGGGAGCAGGCCCAGTTGGAATAATTAGATTGAGGAGCGAATGTCACACTTCTAATTTCATTTTCTTTTCAAGGGATTACCAGTGTCCCTTTAATAAAACAAGATTAGCCCTCTACAGTGGATGTATTTGAAAGCTGTCTGTATAACTTGTTGGATGATTGCAAGGGCTTTGTGCATATGTACCGCATGCATTTGATGTCTCCTTTTGAACGTTGAAGCAAATATGGGATAATGGACAATTGCCATAATAAAATTGTTAAAGTACTCACACAGCCCTTAACACTGTATCTTGTATTGAATGTTGCAGGAAACCTCGCATCAATTCCCAGCTGGTGGCACAGCAGGTGGCACAACAGTATGCTACTCCACCTCCCCCTAAGAAGGAGAAGAAGGAGAAGGTGGAAAAGCCTGACAAAGAGAAACCTGAGAAAGATAAGGACATCAGCCCCAGTGTCACCAAGAAAAACACCAACAAGAAAACAAAGTAAGTTTCTGGACACTAAATACAACATATTAATTTGCACTTGGATCACAGATTTTAAATGATGACTTATTTTTCTGAATCTTTGCTTTCCCCCTTAGACCAAAGTCTGATATTTTGAAAGATCCTCCTAGTGAAGCTAACAGTATACAGTCTGCTAACGCTACAACAAAGACCAGCGAAACGAATCACACCTCAAGGTACTATGAAACTGTAGTGAAATACTAAGCTGTTGATTTAATCATAATCAAAAGCCCAGGGTTACTACATACTTAGAGATTTTAGGCCAAGGGAGGTGGAATGAGAAGCTAGAAAAGGCTGCTGACCTTTTTATATAGATCATCTTGGCCAGAACAGAAAAAAGTAGTTTGTCACCTATGATCAAAAGTTACGCTAACTGGTGATCATTTATTTCTCTTACTGCTAAGTGGTCAGCATACCCACAGCTAGCAGGCACCAATGTTTCTGTGGTGGCGGCTTAGGTCCATGGGAACAAGCTTGTGGGAGGTTTGTGTTGCTGTTACTTCCTAAGTGGCTCCTTTGGTGTGTTTCAGGCCCCGGCTGAAGAACGTGGACAGGAGCACCGCACAGCAGTTGGCTGTAACTGTGGGCAATGTCACAGTCATTATCACAGACTTTAAGGAAAAGACTCGATCCTCCTCTACATCCTCCTCCACAGTGACCTCCAGTGCAGGGTCAGAACAGCAGAACCAGAGCAGCTCGGGGTCAGAGAGCACAGACAAAGGCTCCTCCCGCTCCTCCCACGCCAAAGGGCGACATGTCAGCAGTAAATGATGAATCTTTCTGAAATTGCACATGGAATTGTGAAACTATGAATCAGGGTATGAGATTCAAGCCCTCCACCTGCCCATGCTGCTTGCACCCTGGAGAGTCTTCTGTGGACGACCTTGTAGTGATGCTACCAGGAGAGGTTCTACTTGCCGTGGGCACCTGGCTACCAAGGAATTTCGTACCCTGACAGTTACTCTTGACACTTTTATGTATTCCATTGTTTTATATGATTTTCCTAACAATCATTTATAATTGGATGTGCTCCTGAATCTACTTTTTATATAAAAAAATCTGCTGTGCACAATTTTCCATGTACATTACAACTGGTTTTCTGTTTCTGTTTTGTTGAAGAGGGTTGGGAGGGGGGGAGGGAACTTTTATTTATTGTGTTCACAGACTCCATCCTGTCAGCATATCCTCTTAAATTTAGTTATTTCTTCCAGCTATACTCTGTACTATCAGTTTTGATATAACTATATATATAAATATAAAATTATATATAAAGGGTTATTTGAAACCAATCCATGGCAACGCTGGTGCTTGATACACTGTGAAGTGAATACAACATTGGACAGTTGACACAGATCTGGGACAGTCCCTTCTATGAAAGTGCTGAAATATAATTAAGATCAGTCTTACATGAAGTATGTTCCAACCTACATGGGAACTTGACTCTCTCATCTGTCTTTAAGAGTACTGGATGATATAAAAAAATATATATTTTTTAAACAATGTGATCTCAAATTTAAAGACTGCTCCAGATAGCCTGCATTTGCGATGGGATAATTGACAAATCACAAGTGGTTCAGTTGGAGGGCTTTGGCCATTTGGAAGTAACAAAACTAGCTCCAGAATGCCAAGTATTCGTGTAAATTACGGTTATATGTTAACATTGCTGTTCTTATTAAGCACTCATGAAAATATGGTGTTCTGTATCTCGAATTCCGGCCTTTTTCCAGACCTCTGCTCATGCCTGAGGCACGTCTAGCAGCTGTCTCTTAGTTTTAGGGTTGCAGTAGTACGTTTTTAATCCACACCATCTAGGGAAGCAGTCCTGTGTCTACTTCCCCTGTGACATTGCAGTGGTGGATTTTGTGATCATGGTCTGTTTGCCACCCCTACCCCCACCCTCCAAACCCTCACCCTACCAATGCAGTTGTTTATTTTCTCCTTAAAATCTGCTGTGGGTCATTTTATTAAACAACGGTTGTCAACCACACATCCAGACCTGACACAGAGATCTTCCAGACTCATGTCATTTCTTTGCTCCTTATGTGGAAAAGGACCGCAGGGGTGCATGGGCAAGTTGCAGGGAAATCTCACGTCCCAGGAAAGTGAAGCAGGTGGTCTTCGTCTTCTCAACAGAAATAGCTTGACTGAACCCAGAAGTTTCTTTTCACTTTTTCCTATTTTGGGCGATGGGATAATCAAAGACCACTAATAACAATCTATCGCCCCATCTCATCCCAAATTTGGGTGGTTCTGCTTTGCTCTTAGATTCAGGGTATCTCTCCTATCTGACTTTACCTTCATATCCACTGAGTTTGTAGTACTTAAGTCACTTTAAGCATGAGAACGTGGTGTTAAACTTCCTTTATTTGATCACACTCTTAAGGACTAGTGGGAGAGTGTGTAAGGAAACATCACATCTTGGTGTTAACCTGGTTTGCTTAATAATAGAACTAATTTCTATCTGTGGAGGCAACAAGTTAAGAACATATTAACAGCTTGAATTGAGTAGCCAACAGGAATGGTTCCATTCACATTTACATTAAAACCAGTCATTTGATGCGCCGTAGTCTACGTTCTGTCCGCAAAGGCAGTGCTATTTGTCGCTGGGCTCCTGTTCGCAGAAGCATGGACAATGATGCTCCCCCTCTTTTTAAAGCAGTGCTTGTGTCTGGGATACAAGCTGTACTTAACCTTTTTAAATACCTTTTTAAAGTATTTATTAATGAACCAAAGGAAATGAGGTGCTTTCTGTAAGCATCAGAATATATAATACATAGTGATTTGACTATGAATTTTAAATCCACATTTTAATATTAGTGGGGTATTGCAAAGACATTCCTTCTAAAGTTTTAATATTCCTTTTATTAAGGGTCTCAGGGAGGGTTAATTAGTCAGCCATATTTATTTTCCAGAGGTGTAAGGAATTGCTAAGTTTTTTAATTAACTTTTTAAAAAAAATTTAAATGCCACCAAATTCATGTGGATTGCACTGCTCTTTGAACCAATAAGTGTTGGTATGCACTTTGTTCAGAAACAAACACTGTGTACTTTTTCAAAACGAGTTTCATGTAAAGTGATTGGACCCCCTAGATTAGTGGGAAAGGCTGATTTACCAGCTCCTCATAGGCTACTAATTCATGCATCGCCGGTGTCTTGGTTTTTCAGTTTTGCCTCCGTGATAAATTAATGAGGAGAGGTGAAGGGAGTGGAAGGCTTCAGAACGAGTGGAGTGAACTTGCCTTGAGGTAGAAACTGCAGCTAACAGCGGAGTCTAAGCAATCAGATGTTCCTGGCTGCCCTGTTGCAGCTGTCACAGGCTCTGTTGGGGTGAAGAGGTGTGGTAGGTGCTAAATGATGGCATCCTCAGGCATGCATTCTGGAAATGGAATTCCTGTTAGCTTCCTGCATTTACAATTTGCCCTACTATAGTACTCAGTAGGTAAAAACACTAGTGTAGCTTACAAAGAGACATTAAGAGGACCAGAAATACTTGGTATTCGGTGGCACAGAAAGCATATTCAAACAAAAAGCACAGTGTTAAGGCTTGCAAGTTTCCCGTATGTTTAGTACATGATCTTTCACACTCATGTGCACACGCACAGAGCTGACCTGACTTGCTCTGCCCGAGTCATGCAGTTGGGAGAAGATAAAAAGACATCTTGATACAAAAATATTTTAATCGAAACCTTTCAGTTTGGATCTGGATACTTCAAAACATTGGCAGAAGCTTCTGTGAGTTTAGCTCCGCTAAGATGTCTCTCCCTGCCTTATCAAGACCATTCTCAGTCTGCATTTGTAAGCTACCGTATCTTAAATTATTGAGAATTTATTAATTGCTGAATATATAATAACCTTTGCTTGTATGTTACCGAAAATGGTTTAAGAGCCAACATTTAGAGTGTGACAATGGAGCTGAACAGTTTCTAACGCGCAAGCAGTTCTGTTCTTGTGTATGACTTGTAACCTTAATTTACTGTGTAAAGATGGTTACATTATTTCCTTAGCTTTGTTTGTTGGAGACAGATAGCGAATGCTTGTTAAGTATGTCAGAACATAATCTTCCCTTGTGAACTTTTGTTAATGTCTTATACGAGCTCTATTTTCCATTTGCCCAGAAAGATGGCTTGTATAATGCTTTGGAAGTTTCTGCTCCGTCCGTCTTAGAGCTGACAGTCTGTTAGGTTTGTTTTCTCTTCATGCTAAAGTGTCGGTGGTTTTGTGAACTGGTCAGAAATTCACAGGTCTTAAATGTTTGGGGGAAATTTATATTGGACACTGCTCTTTGTCTAGCAAATAAAAGATGTTAATATATTCCTGTTATTGGCATGTGCACGACTATGTTATTAGAAGCCACTTTATCATTTTCCTGCTTTAAATAGAAATGTCTATTTATGAATTCTGCTTGTAGTTTTTTCACAAATAAAATAGTAAAATTTACATTGGAGATGATTATTTTTGTTGTTCCATAGACTTCAGCCCTTAGAAAAGCCTAGTTTCATCTTTTTTTTTTTTTCCGCTCCCACTTATGGAATGTTTCCAGTGGGGATAGAAAGCATAGTTCCTTTATTTCTCGTGTTAGCACACACTGAAGTTATTTTGAGTGTTGTAGTGTATAGATCACAAACATAGTACAAGGATAATTGAGCCCCAAAACCATCAAAATTGGAAGAAAGTTATTGTGTCTGTCTTCTTTCAGATAGGCTGTGGTTATCCAAAGGAAGGAGCTGGAGGGGCTTCCCTGTGTTTGAAAGACCTCAGCCAGCCTCTGCTCTTGCCAGAGCCCATTAAGCCTGTGGTGACCAGATGGTGTAAAACACCTTGTCTGGCCCACAAGCCATACAGCAAGGCTGACTTCTTACCTGCTGCCTTGGAGGATTCATCCTGAGGACTTCTTGTCTGGTTCTGTGCTTGAGCTGACACTAGGGAGAAGAGTGCAGTCTTGCCTCATTGAAGAAACACCAAATGGTCCCTGTCTGCACTTCATCACCATTCAGTTCTTCAGAAGGATTGGGAAGGTTTCAGAGTAAATGGTGTCAGTGTTGCTGATGTTTGCCCCAGACATCTTAGGTGCAGAAAAGTTCTCTGCTCTTCCTCCCATGCTTTTTGTGATACTTGTAGGCCCTTTGTGGGGATCCCTCTGACTCTGGTACTGAGAACACTTGGGAGGATGGAACCGCCCATGTAACATGTGCGGAACACTATAGACATCAGGAAGAGTAGATTATTAACCTCACTGAGAGGCTAAAGCTAAATTTATGTGGATACTTTACTGTCCTGAGAACTGCTTGCCAGTGAGACCTCAGTGTGATAAGAGGTGCTTGCTGAAGGAATCCTACAAGGCCAGAGTGATGTTTAAAAGGCTGGCAGTGCCTGGACAGCTAGCTCTTGCCAGGAACAGAGGAAACCTGCCCCTTCACCTGGACCTTGGTACTCAGAATCATGGAAACGAGCAGAACAGATGTAGAGTCGCCTTGGAGGCAAGCTGGTAACCAGCCAAGTGCTGTTTGCTAGTCATGGATGGGAGCCATGGCCTAATCTGCTTGCCCAGTGAAAGGGGATGATTGATCTTACAGGAAAGGCTCTGATTTTTTTCCCAGAAAACATAGGTCATTACCTGCAAATACAATCAACAGTGAAAGGTATTCAGGTGATGTTCTGCCTAGCATTAATCAAAGTGGGGTTGGAGCTTAGGGGGGCTCTCTAAGGGATCCAGGCCAGTCAGGCTTCAGTTTTGATCATGCATTCACAGGTTGCTGGGGTGAGCAGTGAGGTGGAAAGGACAACAGGCTTGAGACGCCTACTGTGTGGGTGCTTTCCTAGTCCTGTGTTTGCTGCTGGGGGTTGGACATAAGCAGGGTTTTGCATTTGTCAGGTGAGCTCTACTACTGGGCTGCATCCCAGACCTTTACAGTTTTAGTTTTGAGATGGCCACCTCAAGTTTTCCAAGGCAAATCGTAAACTTTTGGTTCTCTGGCCCTGACCTCCAGAATAACAAGGATTGCAGGCCTGCACCACCAGACCCAGCTGTACAGGGGCCTTTGCCTAGGCCAGCAGCCAAGTATGCAGGCTGGTGCAACTTCACA